AGAAAGACCTAACCAAAACCTCTTTAATTCAGAATGATCAGAACTTGTTCATGATCTGTATGATTCATGACATTGCTAGGAAATGACACTTATAAATTCCACATTATCTGAAATCACTTAAGAATGAATGGTTTCCTTTAAAACATTTATGAATAGTAAGTAGCTACTATTTAGTGATTTGTTTGACTCTTCTAAAATTGACTATCCATCGGTCTCTTACAGTTAAAATAATTTTGAAGACCTAGTGTTTAGAATTTGGGGTTAACTTTTGGTCCAACTACTGTGAGGCCCCAAATGGATTTGTAAATTCTACATGATTTGCAAGTTCTGGGCTACCATAGACCTCAATAGGTTGCTCAGTAAGCTTTATTATACCATTCTTCCCCAATTTTAGGGGTAGCTACTTAAGTTTTGAAAATTATTGTGCTCACTGATTGATAACATGTTTGATTCATTCCCTTCCCCAAGCCCTTACCCAGGGTAAAGGAAAAGTAGAAAAATGAAGTTACCTTGCTTGGCTTATCATATTTGTGTTTATGTTAGAATTTAAGGAAATATTTCTTAATTTTACTTTGTAAATAAAGATGTTTTATACTTATTAATATTTTAGAGAATACCATCTTAAGTATGCTTGAATATATTTAACGTACATGAAATTTGTAAATTGGTTTCTTACAAAGAGGCTTATTGGATTGTTGAATTTTTGTCCTTTTAGGAATCTATTCGATGGTTAGAAGATGAAAAGGCTCTCCTAGAGATGACTGAAGAAGTAGACTATGATGTAGATTCATATGCTACTCAACTTGAAGCTATTCTTGAGCAAAAAATAGACATTTTAACTGAGCTGCGGGGTAATTCCTTTTTCATTTTAGTGCTTGAAATCTTCATCTTCATATGTAATTGGTGGCAGGATTTCATACTGCAAGAGGATATCCGAAATAAAAATTATGGGCACCATTTAATACATTTCCAGAAGTATAAAGACAGACCAGTCATTGTTTTTTGTAAAAAAGAAACATGGAGTATCCTTTCAAGTGCTCTTTAGTTGTCTTTTTCTTTTAGGCATTTGAAAAGATAAAAGCATCTTATGATTAAAGAGGGAAAATGGATTTTAACAAATCTGTAAGTTTTATACACTCATTCAGATTTTTAGTTTGATAGGTCAGTGCTTGTCAGAATTATTTTGCTTAGATTAGGTCTATTCAGGACCATGCCTTCTGTAGCCTCCTATCTGCACCTGTGTCATGTCTTTCCTTTGAAGACTTGTTTTAAAAAATCAAGGGGAAGGTTTCAAGACCTTGAACAACTCAAGACCTTTCAACAATTATTCTTCCTACTTTGCGAATGGAGGGAAGCATGTGACTTACCCACATGCCATGTCTTTTTGGCTTTTTAAGTAGCTTATCTGTGTAGCTTCACATTCACATTTATTGTATGTACTTGTTTCTGAGGCATTGGCAAACTAGTTGTCTCCATTTATATGTGAATGGACATCTGTGTATGTGTACATGAAATGCAATGTGAAACCAGATTGAAATTGCTAGTTCTTAGCACCAAACTGGCTAATTTATAAACTAGGTCCTTTGTGAAATTGGTTATTTGAAATCATATCGTATAAAGCCAGCAATGACTGCCCAATTCAGAATTGTTGGTACAAATGTAGAGTTTCTAGAACTTACTTTTGTTTTTCCTATTCTTCATATCCAAGCCTTGATTTAAAGTGTTTTGATCATTGTTCTTATCTGTCAGAACTCACAGGCAGCTTTTCTCTATGTATTTTATTCAGAACAGATCATAATGAATTGTAATTTTTTTCTTTGTAATATGTGGCATTCAACTTAGTTGTATCAAGTGTATCCATAACTTTGAAGAAATTACTTAATGTCTAGCTATTGTATTTTTTTAGGAAAAAAATTTTTTTTACCATCCAGAGATAATATTGGTATTAACATAAGAAGTTTGAGAGTTTTTATCTTATATTAACAGGTACGAGATCCCGAGGTCCTTAAATTTCTTTCTGAATTTCAGAAGTTAATTTTTAAAATATCATTGTTCTTTGGAAGAGGGGAAAGAAATTGAGATTCGAACTGATAATCTCGTTCTTGTCTCCCAAAGGCCATAACCTTTGCACCATTAATACATTTTAAGTTGGGTAATTGTTGAGGTGCTGTCCTGTGCATTGTACATTGCTTACCAGCATCCTTGGTCTCTCTTGACTAGATGACAGTGGCCACTTGTGACAGTCAAAAAATATCTAGATATTATCAGATGTCGGGGGGGTGGTGGGAGAACATCACCCGTGGTTAAGAACCACTGGTATAAAAGGAGATGAGATATTTCTCATCTTCACAGCTGACTTATTTGCCTCTTTCAATTTATTTACCTACTTCTTATTCTTATGGGACTCTGAATTAATACATCATAGTAGGAATTGTAAGAACAAGAATATATTATCCTATAATCCCCCTTCCCCATTCCCTTTTACAATCCCTGATAAGGACAAAATGACATTTCTTTTTAAAAATTCAAACATCTTTTGAAATTTCATGGCTTAAAAAGGTAAAATAGGCGTCAGGAGTAGAAATTTCTTAATATTGAGGGAAGAAAAGTCTATTTTACAGTTTAATAAGATTCAGAGGCACCTGGCTGGCTTAGTAGGTAGAGCTGTGACTCTTGATCTCAGGTTTATGACTTTGAGCCCCACGTGGGCATAGAGATTACTTAAAAAAAAAAGACTCCGTGTTTTTTTGAACATGACTGTACACATTTAACACACATATATAGCCTGTCTGTACTCCAAAAGGAATTCAAATAAACTAAAATTCAACACTGTAAAATGTGCCAAACAGAACAGAAACCTGTTGAAGATATAGAAGAAAGTTATTTTCATGAATCCTTAAATAACGAAACTGTTGCTATAATTGAGTATTGTGTTTAGTTCTGAGTTTCTGGACAACAAAAAACAAAAGGAAAAATCCTGAGTTAATGCTCTAAAGTAAGGCAGCTGACTTGATAGGACCCATGAAGTTGTATACTGTATTGCATGCAATGCAGTACTTACTCTCTTGTTCTTTTCTTTTTTCCAAGATAAAGTGAAATCTTTTCGTGCAGCTCTACAAGAAGAAGAACAGGCCAGCAAGCAAATCAACCCGAAGAGACCCCGTGCCCTTTAAATCAGCATTTGCTGCTAAAGGATCCCCAGAACCCACACTGCTGTAACATACAATGGTTCAGCTGTAAGGGCCATTTGAAAGTTTGAAATTTTAAGTGTCTGTGGAAAATGTCTTGTCCCTTCACCTGAATGACATTTCAGTTTTGTGAACCACTCCTTTGTCTACAAAATGCTTCTAGTTGAGGAGGCACAACCAAGATTTGGGAATAGTGAAGCATTTTGTTTCATTTACCCAGATAGTGATTTACTTTTGGAGATCCTTGCCAATTGTATTTTCTGTATGAAGTAAGGTTGTGGACTTGATCCAGCGGTGAAGAGTAGGGGGAAGCCACAGCATTTCCTTTTAACTTGGTTCAATTTTCGTAGCAAGACTGAGCAGTTTTAAATCCTTTGCGTGCATGCATACCTCATCAGTGATTGTACATACCTTGCCCCCTCCTAGAGACAGCTGTGCTCACCTCTTCCTGCTTTGTGCCTTGACTAAGGCTTTTGACCCTAAATTTCTGAAGCACAGCCAAGATAAATTACATTCCTTAATTGTCATTGTAAATTACCTTTATTGTGTGTACATTTTTACTGTATTTGAGACATTTTTTGTGTGTGACTAGTTAATTTTGCAGGATGTGCCATATCATTGAATGGAACTAAAGTCTGTGACAGTGGACATAGCTGCTGGACCATTCCATCTTGTATGTAAAGAAATCTGGAATTATGATTTTAAAACCAGATAATGTGGTTATAATTTTCTTAGCATTTTCTTTGTAAAGAACTAAAATATAAACTAGTTGGTGTATAATAAAAAGTAACGAAATTCTGAGAAGAGTTTTATCTTAGGATAATACATATATATGCAGTGTGTTCTCCAGTGTGGTATTAACAGGACTAATAGTGCAATTTGATCCTTACCAATACCATTACTTAAAGTGTCCATTAGCACCCCAAAATGTACCTCCTAAATGTACTGATAAAGGAAATTGGCTTCTGATGCATGAATATTTACATGTACACTGAAAGTAGTCCATAATAGAACTGTTAGTTTAAGCCAAGTGTAGACAGTACATAACTCCCTTGAGAAAGAATTAAGCTAAAAGAGGGTTGACTTTGCCTCAAAAGGCAGATCGAACCCAAGCCCCATCCATTACCTAAATGTGTGATGTTTCATCATTATTTGGTGAGAATCACCAAATTCTCGCCATTAAATTGGATTAGGGTATGCTGCTTTTTAAATGGTGGCACTTATTTTTACAGATTGCTACTCCAAGGAAGAAAACTGGCCACTTTTCATGTAAATATTTTGTTAAAAGATTTATATATCTCTCTAGGAGTTTTCCCTTAGTTCCTAGGATAGAGTCCAGGAGTAGATTAACAACAAAAAGTCTCCCAAGGATGTCTTGTTTTGATTTACTCAAAGGAACTACTGCTCATTCATTTGGGCCAAAGGGAAGCTATGAATAGAGAGTCACATGAGCCAGATTCCCTACTTCATTGTTCATAGAACCCAGAGGGTAGTTGTGGGAAATCCTAACACCATGGTGAAACGCTCCTCTGTAAACTTGAAATCTAGAACAAATGTAGATTTTCACAATGTGCTTATTAATAAATGATATCTATGGAATGAGTTTTAGAGATAATTTACTTCAGTACAATCACCTTTGTTTTGGAAGGGACTCAGGTTTTCTTGCAGTTGTAAGATATGTTCTTTTGTGGTATTTCAAAGAGAAGAGGAAGAATGGAGCAGATACTATTGACCTTGCAGAGGTTGCTTAAAAAAGTAGTTTTTGAGGCTAACCAACCTTCAGAGGGCAATAAAGAGATGTGAACTTGCTCATTTTAAAGCACAACAGATTACTCTTTATTAATTAAATAAGATGGATACTATCTCTGGAAGGTCTTACATTCAAATATGCCGCCTTATACTATAATGACTTCATTCTGATCAGTAATCAAGGTCTTTAGAAAATTAATACCAGAAAAGATCTTGGTGGTATAGTCCAAACCTTCAGTTTTACAGATAGGGAAAACTGAAGGCCAGAAAAGGGACTAAAACTCAGTAGTTCACAGGGGAAGAGGAAATAGAGGGAAAGCTGAATTAACTCTTAAAGTTTTCCTATAAGTGTAGAGATGGTACAAATGAATTTTGCAAAGTAAGTAGTTTTGTGATATTAAAAAAACCTACTCTTGAGGTATATTTAATATTTATGTAACAAAAGTGGCTTGATGCAGCTATTATTTAAAGAATAATGAATTTTTTGGATCTGGGTTAAACATTCTCAGATTTCTTGAAAGCTGATATTCCTATTAATAAGTAATTATTTTATTTATATAGGAGTGTTCTACTATATCACTTTGAAGCCAGATTTCAAAAAAATCTGTTTAGTTAAACAACTTCCTTCCTAGGTTTACTCAGTGTACCTATGTTAAAATAATTTGGAAGCAGTCTTTCTATTAAGTTAGGTTTTAAAAAAGTCAGTTATCAAGATATTTTTATTAATTTCCTTATATAAATAAAATAATCAGGTACTATAATTCTTTATTAAAGGACATTAACAACGCTTAGTATTATATTGATAATGATTTAAACATAGTAGCTAGTTAAGACTTGTTTAGGGCATCTATTGACATTGTCAACCGGCCATTTTAAAAATAGCTTAAAACTAAGCATCAGTATATGAAAAGACACTGGAACTTTGTTTTCCAGAAGTCACATGAATACTGAGAGCCTCTAGTTACGAGAAGATGGCTGGTTGAGATGTTTATTTGTTTTAAGTAAGTTGAAGGGCAGAATTTGAACTGTAAAGCCAGGTTTGATTTAAAAAACCCTTTGAAATTTTGTTAAACCTGTGGCTTTCCCCAAGAAAACACATACTATCTTATAGTTCATTTCATTCCAGCTGAGCATGCTCATTTCACAGTTAAGGAACCATGCCCAGAAGTCATATGCCTGGCACCACCGCATGGTGGCGGTAGCGGACTCACGTTTACCCAGAACCCGATGGAGCCTCTGCTGCTTACAAGACAGCTTAGGCATAGGCAGTGAGTGAAAGAAGCTGTGTAAGATAAACAGAGAAGAAATGAGAGAAGCAAAATAAGCAGTTGTTTTATTGTGCACATGAAAGAAAGAAATCGTATGGGAAATATGTGACTGAGTTAAGCATGTTTTAACTTTTTTACTATTTGAGGGACAAAGGCCTACACAGGTCCTCATATAATATATAACAGAAAATAGAACAGTAACATCTTTATACAATAACCTGTTAGAAATGGTAAGTTTAAGTGTAAAGTTGTGCGTGCCTGCGGCTCTTCAAGATTATCATGCGTAGATTGGACCCTGCCCTATGTTAGATATTAAAAACACACCACAACCAAAAAACACTCGGGTACTTAGAATTGACTTACTACCATGAGAATTCAGAGTAATAAATGGTGACAGTAGTAGTATTAAGTCAAAACTAGTCAAGCACATAGTGTTCCAGGGAAGCAAAGGCATAGTTCATCTTCTCAAATTATTAAAAATACGTAATTCCAGTTTCTTGTTCTTGAGTTTGGAAAATTCTGTTTTCCAGACACCTAAGAAAAATGTATACCTTCTGCATTGAATCCATGTAGCAATCTGAAAAAAGAAACCAAAATGAGATGGTATTGAAAGGTAATTTATTGCACATAACAATGCATAGTTCCTATACCACGAATTCCAAAACAAACACATCAGCAAACCTCTGAAGCCCACCCACTCCTAACACTAGTCATTATAGAAATGTCATTCTTCAATTAAATTTGCAAGATATATATTGGTTAAAGTCACATTTTCTTGCCTCTTTTGTCACAGCCTATGTGTCTTAAGTTATGGTGAATTTGACCAAATTATCTTAGACCTCTACTATCCAGACATAAGAGCTCACTGGCGCTTGTTCTATTTCAACATGGTAAGTGAACAAGAAGCTGTTTGGAACTAGAGACAGAAGAAAAATGAGTGGGTAATCTTAATGTTCACTTTTCCCTGTCTGGGCTCACTATTACTCAGGTTCCAATTAAGTACTTAACACATTGCTTTTCTCTCCATACCTTTGTTACCTATTGGATGCTAATTAGCAAACTGCATATGCTTAATAACCTTGAAGAAATTTGGTGAGAATTAAAGTAAGCTGAAATATTTCTATATAGACCTGAGATGATTTTCAGGATGGCCCACAGGAACAGCTGAAGATGGATTAGAATGTTTGAAAAAGGAAGATAGGTACTTATGAGTGATGTTCAACTCCTAGGATTAACCTCTGATGAAGACTCAGTAGTACTGCTAGCCTGCCAATATAAAATATAAACCCCGTCTGTCTTATATGGAACTGTGCTGCCAGCTTAGAAAAGTCAAACCAATTACTTTTATAACAATCTACCCTCATTTTTTATTCAGCTCCTAGAACAGGGACGTTCTAAACATGAAATGACTAAATAGGCAAAAACTGTTCAGTAAGTGAAAGTTTATTAGGAAATCAAAGTGTTAGTGCTTAAAAACAGTGAGTATAGGTAACTGAAGGCTTATTCTGCTTTCATAAGACTAATCTGCTTAATTCAAGGAAAACATTTGGGTCTGCACTGCCCCATAAATTATGACACCCTTCTTTTATTTTAGGTGTGTAGAACTTGCCTCAGTCGACAAAATAAGTAACTATATTATTAAACCAGTTAGAACTGAAAACCAGGTATGATTGTAATTGACATTATTTCATGTGTAGGATCTATTTAACAATAACTCTTCCCAGTACAGAAAAAGAATGAGATTCAATGACATGTGTTATGCTGCTTCTACCTTACAGGCTACTTTGAAGACACACACTATTAAGACTAACTATGAATGGGATTTGGGGGAGGAGGCTGAAGGGGAGGAGCACACATACCACAACACACATTGACACAGAGGCTGTCTCCAGGCTCGGACTGTTCTTTACTACTGTTCTTAAAATGTTCATTCTGCTGCAGCTAACTAGCCTCCATCTTCTACACCAAATACTATTCCATACTATGGAAGTGCTATGCAATAACCCCAGGTAGCACCTTACACCGCTTAAAAGCCTTTAAATCTCTAATCGGAAGGTGTCACAGTAAAGAAATGTAAACACTTAGGAAAAAAGAACAATGTAATTACCTGATGAAGTCATCTATGTCCATGGAACGGGCCCGCTTGTCACTAAAACCTGTGCTGGTTAGGATTTGCTGTATTTTATCTGCTATGCTGAAATCTTCTGGTATTATCTATCAATATAAGATTCAGAATAAATGAACAACATATCTTTAATGAAGTCATGTTGGCTCTTTTTTGTTTTTTTTTAGTTCAGTAACTGATAAAATAGTCCCCTTTATCTGCTCACGGCAGTCTGAAAAGCCTATTTTTGCAGATCAGACTTGGACCTCTAATTAAGTGGTTAATCTTCAGCACATGCCAAATACTCAGAAGACTTTGAATGAGTTAAACCTGTATACTGCCCTTTTTCTTAAAAATTCTGAAATAGTTTCAGGAGTAAGGTACTTCATATCAAAAAATAAAGCTATAAACTGAATTTTATAGCAACTGTTACTCCTTTAAAAATATCTTACATTTTCTTGGCACAAATTTAATTTTATCAGCCAGTTTTTCTCAAAGAGATGACCTCCAACCCTGGGGAATATTAAATATTTCATACCTCACATCCTTCCTCCAAAGATTTTTCTTAATCCAGTTTAATATTTTCCTACCTAAGCAATTGTTTAATGACTTTGTCCATAAAAAAGAAAATGAAGATAGCAATATGATATATTAAACCATACAAGATCTGAGTCAAAAAATGCAATGGAAATTTGCTCTTATCTTTCTGCTCTGTTTAATTAATTTGAAAGAACTAAAAAGTTATCAGACATCACAGTTATGTGAATGGCTATGTGTATGTGAGTTGACACACATACAAAATTGGTTAAAGAAAATGTTGCACAGATAATAAAGAGGCATGAGGCTTACAACAAAAAATCTGCTATTCAGCCTATACTTTAATTATTTCAATTTCTGGGTATTAAAAAAAGTTACTGAGAAAATGGTAACTTTAAATTGAATTGCTACGTGAGCAACAAGGCAATTCAGAGCATAGCAAATGGTACATAATTTGAGCTGAGCAAGCTACACATGCCTAAAGCTTTGGGAAAATTATGACTCAAGTGAATTTCTTTTTATGTCTAAAAACAACTGTCTAGTTAAAGAAGCTCAAGTGGAGTAATCAAGGCCACTCGGATCTATTCCAAGAATACACAGTAGTATTGACCTATTAGAGGTCAAGTTAAGGTTGTGCTAGTTACACATCACTTTTAAGGATCCTATGGAATATACCAAATTAAGAATCAAGTGATGAAAAATGAAAATAAAAAGTAGATGAACATTTTAAAACAAATCGGAACCACAGAGACACCAGAAATATTTTTTGCTTACAATATTATGGATCGAACAGTGAATTCTGTAGTTTTTTTCCAACAGCTGTTGTACTGCGCTTGACCTATAGCATAAAGAAGCGATATTGCTGTTATTCCAAAATCAGAGATTATAATTTCCTTTCAGTTTATTATAAAGTTAAGTGTATGTTCCATGTAGTAAAATTAAGGGACTAAAAAGGCATTGAGTATTAAGAAACAATCACAAACTGGTTATATTTAAAAAGTAAAGTTCTAATAAAAATCTCTGAAATTCTTAACATCACCTAAATTCAAAACATCACCTAAAAAAAAAAAAAAAAAGGTGAAATAACGGCTTTCAGAACCTCTTTTGCCCTTGGGCTTCAAATTGCTATTTAAAAATATTTCCAAGTTAATAAAATTGCATGAATTTTTCACAAGTGTTGAAAAATGAGACAGATGTGTGGTTTTTGTTTTTTCCTTTTTTGCCAAAAAACCTGATGTAATTCCAAATTCCAGGAACTTTCTTTGTTAAATTTTTCTGCCCCTCCACCCCCCCCAAAGAACAAAGTTAGTGAAAAAGGAAAAGTGTGTCTGGACATGGGTAATCTTTATGCTTTAGGGTATCTGTTCAGGATAAGGACCAAATTCTATCACTTAGCACAGTTCCTACAGCACTGGTCGTCCTTCCTATATCATAAATGAGTAAAATACTCACTTAAATGCAGCAGAGAGTGTCTTGTTTTTCCTAACGAAGGTGATCCTTACTAGGCCATCCCATTCCTGAAACAGAAGATGGATCATTTCTTAAAAATATCCAACCTTGCCTATGTCTCCTAGGTATTATTTTGTCTTTTAATATATAAAACTGAAAGAACCTTCTGGAGTGACGAAAATACTCTGTATTTTGATCTGGCTGACCCATGCAAAAAATACGATATGTACTTGATTTTTGGCACTTCTGTCCACCTCACTGAAAATTTTATCCTCAATTTTAAAAATTAGAAAAAAAAATTGTTCCACATCTGAACAAAGAACACTGTGACATTTATTTAAATCAAAGTACCATTTTCAAAAAACATAATTCAAGGGGTGCCTGGGTGGCTCAGTCCTTACGCATCTGCCTTCGGCTCAGGTCATGATCCCAAAGTCCTGGGATCGAGCCCCGCATCGGGCTTCCTGCTTGGCGGGAAGCCTGCTTTTCCCTCTCCCTCCCCCTTTCCCCCTACTTGTGTTCCCTCTCTCGCTGTGTCTCTGTCAAATAAATAAAATCTTTAAAAAAAAAAACATAATTCAAAACAGACATGATTTAATAGCCTATGCAACATACCTAAACCACCCTACAGGAGTAATTAACAAACCACTCCATTACCAAGAACTGACCACACAAGTAATCAAGTTTTTATCCAAAGAGACTGCAGTATGGTTTTACATCAAGTGATGCAACTTCTCTTTTTAAATTGCAGAAATATGAATTATGATTAAAAAGTGTATTCATAATATTGCTCTAACAACTACCTTCATTTTATCTTGTTTTCTAAGTCATACTCAAATATTCTGTACCTATACTCAATAGCAAAATGCAAAGGCATTCCAAGCTGTACTTTTTTGCAAACATTTTCCATGCTTTTTTGTGCTCTTCACAATGATCTTACATCCAAATATTCCATCTACTCCCAACATAGGGATGTCATAATTAGCATTTTCCTGTCTGGACATTTAGGTTAACTCAGTATTTTTCTGCTGCTAGAGACACACATCTTCCAGCTTGGTCTTTTTTTCCTCCTTTACTGAACGATCTAGTACTTTAACCTCACCTGAAAATTGATAGGTGGTGGTGGATTCTTAGGTTCTATTCTTACAACACTGGATTCTACCTTGGGTGGTGGCCTGAAGTTATTCTTTCCAACCTGTTAATTAGAAAATAAGGAGTCCTCTCAAAAAGAGTTTTAAATTAGTAATCAAATATGCTTTCCTCACAGAAGGCACAACTAGATGCTCACGGATGAGGTAAGCCACATTATTTCACTAACAGTCACTTACTTTCATCAGATGGTCCACACGTGCTAACAGCTGTGTATTGATTGAGAGTCTGCAGTATAATTTATCTCCAGGCTTTGCAACTAGTCTGAGAGCAAATTCTCTTTGAAACATAAGTACGGCACATCTGAAGAGATAGTAGAAAAGGAATACGGAAAATGGTTACTTTTAACTATAAAGGTATTTCAACTTCAATTAATTTTCTTGGGTGGGAAATAGAACAAAGAGTATCTGGTTAATGAGAATTCGCTCAGCTGATTACAAGGCAGAACACTTTCAGCTTCAGCTTTATTACCACAAAATGAGCCAGCTGGCTTTTCATTTTATAATGACTACACCACTAACTCCTTGCACATGTAAGCCCTCTGTGTTCAGATAAGCACTAGTCCATTATCCCTTCTAGGGGAAAAAACAAAACAAAACTCAAACAAAATCAGCTCGGCAGCCCAGTGGGATTTATGGGGAAGCAAACACCCTTATGGAAGAGCTGACGCAAGAGAGACAGGTTGGGACACTGGTGTCCTGATTTCCCAAGTTAAAGAACGTGGACGTTGGAAGCAATGCAGAGGCTTTTTGGAGACTCTTGAATAGGAAAAGAGCATCTTCAAAGCTGGGCTTTGACTTTGAAACTTTTTTGACAACGAGTCACACTAAGAAATACATTTGACATTGCAACCTACACCACAAATATCTGTACGTATATGTTTTATGTAACTTAAGCAAAAGTTTCACAAAACTGTAATCACTTGGGCCACATACAATGAATGCCCTCTGATATACTCTATTCCATGTCTTTAAAAAAAAATGGTCACGACTCAATAAATTTATAACCAGTAAGGGGCTTCTGAATTGCAGTTTGAAAACCCCTGTTATATAATGTGCCTAGTGACTAGTTCGGAGGCTGTTGAGACGTAAGGTAATAAAGAGTCTGACCTGGACTAATGGCAAGAGTATTAGAAAACAGGGAAAGGCCATTTGGTCTCAGAAGGAGGACTTACACTGTACCTCCCCCCAAAGCTCTGTCAACTGAATAAAAAAGAGAGAGAAAGACCTCCACACAAATAGATATTTTCTACAAAACATATTCTCCAATAGATTTTTAATTGAATTAACTATCATCTTTGGCTGTCTCTGTTCACGGCCTAAAATTTGGCGGTAATTTTGGTCTTTTTGTCACAAACCTGAAAAAAGGTCGGTGCAGCAACAGCTTGAAGACAAAGGGGGAAGAGATCTGTAAGAGAATTAACTAGTTATTTCTAGGAAAGACACATCACAGAAACATTTTGTATAATGTTCCCAACAATTTGAAAACACACCTGATATGGCAAATTTGCCACACAAGCATCAAAGAATGGTAGATCTGTTTTCAACACATCACCCACCAGTACCTGAAGTTTGCTGGCCAGAGGCCTAATAATAAGAAAAAGAGCAATTAAAAAAGAGTACTGTAAGAATAAAAAAAAAAATTAAAAAAAAAAAAGTACTGTTTCATGAGATTGAAATGCACTTTAATTCTATCATGCATACACATACTCACGTGCCCTGAACTCTTTTGTGAAGTTCTGCTACTAGCCTTGGGTCAAGTTCACAGGCAATTACCTACATTAAAAAAAAAAAAAAGTATTTGGGGGTTAATTATGGAGCATAAATCTTGTTATCTCAATCCTAACTCCTACATGATTAACATGAATCAAACTTTTTTCACCAATTCTACCTCCAATTTTCCTTCAATTCTACTCTACCATTTCAAATAACAAAGAACACCATTCAGAAAAATAGACTGTGCTCTGAGTGGCCCCTGTTCAAATGGCTCCCACTCTTACCGGGCTCTGGTAAGGCAGTTCCCTCCATGTGCCCCTTGAGGCCTTTGGACGGTAACTGTTTCCTGCTGTCGCTAGCCCATGGGTATTCCAGTAATGCCTACTGGCTCTCTTAATCCCATTCCTACATTTTGGATCCATTCAACTGGAAACTGGGTCAGCCAGAACACACAGAAGCCACCAGCAGCGGCCAGGTGGCATCCCAATCTCATGGTGCAGCTCTTTAGATCTCCTCCTCTAGGTTCCAATACTCCAGCCTCCTTGCTTTGTCCCCCGAGCCTAGAGGTGGTAACTCCTCTTTGTAATTATTATTTTTGGGCTACTTCAGTGTTCCCATTTTATTCTTTTAGTCATCTAACAACAACGTAAACAACTCCCTATATTAAATACCCTGTACTGAAAAATCAAATGTGGTTTCTGTTTTCCTTTTTATTTTTTAAAGATTTTATTTATTTATTTGACAGAGAGAGACAGCCAGAGAGGGAACACAAGCAGGGGGAGTAGGAGAAGGAGAAGCAGACTTCCCGCGGAGCAGGGAGCCCGATGCGGGGCTCGATCCCAGGACCCCGGGTTCACGACCTGAGCCAAAGGCAGACGCTCAACGACTGAGCCACCCAGGCGTCCCTCTGTTTTCCTGATTAATACATCCCATATTCTCTTTTTTGTAATCCATTTTTTGAAATGGAGATATAGTTGACATAATGTTATATTAGTTTCAGGTGTACAACATAACATGTACATACTGCAAAATATGTATATATTGTGAAAAAGTCTAGTTAGCATCCATTGCCACACATATTTATACATAAAATATTTTTTGTCTTGTGATGAGAACTTTTAAGATCTACTCTCTTAGCAGCTTTAAAATATACATACGATACTGTTGCTAACTATAGCGACATGCTGTACATTCCATTCCCAGGACTTATTCATTTTATAACTGGAAGTTTGCATTTTTGACCACTTTTATCCATTTTGCCCGTATTTGTTAAGATAAAGCTGTTAGCAAAGTATTAAGGGTTGCTGTTAAAGTAACAGCAATTAATTAAAATAGATTTCTATTTGTAAACCAGGTGAGCTTGCTCACATAGTCATTTCTGATACCAAAACACAAAATTCCCTTTTTACCGTTTTTGCCTTTTCTAGCAACTTTACAGTCATATTGCCAGTTCCAGGTCCAACTTCCAGCACCACGTCCGTTGGTCTTAAGGCAGCCTGCAAGCACGCACAACCACTTTAGCTTTACTGGCACATCTGAGCACATCATTTATTTTACATATTTATTTACACATTTATTTTATCTTTGCTCAAAAGCACGTGGTTAAAGCGATCTTATTCTGACTCCACATCTGTGAGATTCCTTCATGATCTATGTGCTTGACAAAATTTTCTCATTAACATTAGGTGCAAGTGGAAATCTGTCATCTTTCCTAAGCTGGGGCCATAGTTAGGAGTCAGAAAACTTTATAGGAGTCAGAAAAGCAGGAATAGCAGTTCTTTCTGGGAATGGCTTTCTGTCTTCTACCTCAGAAATGACTCCAACAGCATCTTTTTACCAACTCTTATTATCAGTAAGTTCAAACAAGAAAGGACTGCATATGATGATCTTGCCTGAGAATCACAGCATGTTGTATTGGGATTTCTCAATTTTCAACCCATGTATGGTTTCAGGGATAGGAATACCTAGAAATTGTACAGAAACCCGGGTGTTTGTATGGCACAAAGCTGCAGTGTTCTGTGTGCACAGCTTTCATCAGATGCTCAAAGGAAATCCATGAGCCAAAAAGGTTAAAAAATTAGGCCCTCGTTTGGCCAACAACACTACGTCAAGATGATAGAGTCTCTAAAGATGTAATGTTCTCTCTATGGCTCCAGGATGCCTCCTTTGTAACTGAGAATGTAATCTGTACCACATATATTTCATGTTAAGGCAATCAGTCATCCACAACAGTAAGAGAACATCCACTACCCATGCCAGAAGAATACTCCAAAGGGTTTATATGAGGCACTGGATTGTACCATGTAAGTTTCTCTGTGGAAAAAACTTCCTAAGCTGTCATTATGACATCTTTTTAGGCTCTGGAGTAAATAAAAACTAACAGTGATAGATGGTGTCTAGAAAAAAGGGATAAGGAATAGAAAATAATCTGGAATTGAACAAGTACAAACGTCCAGCTATGAAGTAAATAATCTACAGAAAGAATCTGGAGCCTGGGGAAACTCAGACCCACAGAATAAAGCAAATCACGCCGAGGTCAGCCTATGAATCCCAGACAATTCTTCAATTCATTCTACAAATATATAGAGAGCATCTATTTTGTGACAGACATCCTCTATGCGCTGAAGTATTCCTAAGAACAAAATCAATAACCTAACAACTCTCTCCTTTTCTCTTCCACACCCACCTTATCGATAATGCTGTTAACAATGAGAGGATTTTTCAAAATGTGCTGCCCAATCCCCGTGTTGAACATGAGTCCTGGAAGAAAACACGAAAGAGCCTTAATTTCCCAAGGAAACGTAGACCTTAGACCGTTCCACAGAAGAAAGCAGGGTGGCTGGGGTTAGATCTCTGCGCCGAGAGCCACCATCGAACGTCACGCTTGAAGCCGAGATGACACCCTGCTTTAAGTCCACCCCTCCTGCAGGAAAGGAAGGCAGAGGCGGCGCAAGGCCTGCCGCCGGCGATCCGGGAGCGCCGCCGCCACCGGCCTTACTGTCCCGGCCCAGATCTGGGTCCGTGTCCCCGAACAGGTCCTGCCGGATGATCAGACCTGAACACAGCCCCCTCCCGGCTGTCCCCACCTCCCGCGCTCTTCAGCTCCCGGCTCTCTTTGAGCCGCTCGCGGCGGCGACCGCTCGTCCCCGACTTGATCTTCGGCATCACCGCGGGTTCAGACGCACAGGTTTGGAGAGCAGAGTGGACCAAAGTCGGCTACCCAGCACCACACGTTAGAACTTCCACCCCGGCACTGCCGGCACCACTCCCCGCCACGTGGGGTAGGGGCGAGGGCCCAGCCCCCGTTCGCCGTGGGCTCCGCCCCCAGAGAGGGGACGGACCTTGGAGCCCCGTGGCCGCCGGGAATTGTAGTCATGAGGAGGAGGAAGCCCCAAACTCGAGAGACTAAGGATCCCAGAAGACACCGCGCCGCTGATCCTGGCTGTTTGGATTGGCTAGTTTAGAGTCGGGGTGGGGCCTCTCGCCCGGGTCGGCGCGGAGTTGGTCGGGTAAGTTTTGGGGTGGTGCTCTCGAAGATGTGGAGGCGGTTTAAATTATATCGTGCTGTTAGGAGTGTAGATGTTTCGTCAAGCCAGGGGCTGGGACCCGCGAAATCCAAAGGTTTCTTTCTGTCCTGTGCCTCGCTCCCGTTTTCCAGCAAACTCTGGGGTGGGGAACCAAGGATTTGGGATAAGGAGCTTGCGCCCTTGCGCGAGTGACTTCGCTTCTTGGGTTGGGGAGGACCTCCGAGAATGTAACAGATCTTCACTTCCCCTAGGGCTCCTAGTTGCTTTGCTTCCTTTTGTGCCATTGATTCATTCCCCAAACGTTTATCGGACTCCAGCTGCGATTAAACACTACTGGGTGCTGTAGATTCAAAGTTAAATAAGAAACTGCTCTTCCCAGAGTCTATTCTATTGAGAGAGAGAGAGGTAGAAAGTCCGAAACGCTGTAAATGTGGGTATACGTTTTTGTGTTGGGTTTTGTGGTAGGACAGTGTATCCGATTGTAAGCTCCGTGTGTACAAGGTCCACGTCTGTTTTGCATGCCAGTGTAACGACTCTCAGTTTTTAATTTTTCAGTGTGTGCTCTGTTTTCTTCAAGAAAGTTTCTTCTGTTTGGATTACCAAAGCTGCCTCTTCCTCGAGCAACTAGTATGTGTGCATCGCCAAGCCTTGGTCGTTCTTTGCTGTAATTCTAACTCAGGAAAAAACTCGTAACTTTAGTAACATCTTCAACTACTTATTTCATTCCATTAATCGTTATTTTATTACACAATTCTGGAGAACCTATGTGTTCCAGGTACTGTGTCAAATATTAGGAATAAAAAGATGAACATGAATGATCACTGCTTTTAAGGAACTTGCTGTCAAGAGAGGGAGACATGCAAGTTATTATAATGATAACATATTTGCTGTTACATGCCAGGTAACTTTGGGTACATTATTTCATTTAATCTTTTCAAACAGTTGTCTGAACTAAGTCTTATCATTATATCCATTTTACAGATGAGGCTGAAGGACAAAAATGTTTAATATTTTGCTCAAGATCACACAGTAAATGACAGCTGCATCTTGAACCTACGTCTGTATTCCAAAGGTTGTGGGTTTTTTAAAAAAGGTATGATGATGATTAGCACAGTGGCTAATATTTGAGGAAGTTGGGGAACATTTTCAAAATACAATAGTTGAGTGGAGTCTTTAAAGGACAAACAAAAATTAGCTAGGGGAAACTTGGGAGTTTAGAGGAAACCGTAGTCACAAAGACAAGATATAAAGAAGTTGAAGGGAGACAATGAAACTTGGTATAGCTGAGGAATAAATAGGAAAGGTAAATAGGACCTTACTACAAAGGGCCTAAAATGTTATGCCAAGGAGCAGTGGTGGTCACTGAGAAACCAGAATAACCATTTTGCATTTTCTCCTCCTCTCCAGGCTCTGCGGATTGCCGGAGATCACACAATAGTGTAGGTAGGAGACATTCATGAGCTTCACTTTTAACTCTTGCTCTCTTAGCTCTAGCACTCTTCTTGAATTTTCTCTAATGTCTTCCAGTCTCCATAAAAGATCTTTAGACCTGCTGAATTCTTCTCAGGCTCGTTTCCCCTTCCACCTCCCCAGTTCCCTCTCAGCAGAAGACCTTGCCTTTTACTTCACAAGAGAAGTGCAAGATCACCTCAAGGACATGCTCATCTTCCTGGGTTACTGTTCTACACTCTGAGCAAAGCAAAGTGGAACTTTATTTCTGGTGGGGAAAAACAGACATTATGGTAGGTGGTGATGAGTGTGCAGGAAAAAGTAAAGCAGAGGTGATAGAGATCAACAGGATGGGTGGGAGAGGCTATTTTATGTAGCATGGTCTGGCAAGGCTGCCATGATGGAGATAATCTGATCAGAGACCTGAGGACACAAATCTAGAAGTGACTCACACCCTGGCAGTTTCTGCTATAACTAACTGCAAGACAGTAAGTGAGGAAAGCATGAGGGTAGGAGACATTGTGAATGGAAGTACATGGCACAATAGAAGGAAAGGGGTGCAGTTTTTGTTAGGAGAATTCATATGCACAGGCCAGGGAGAGCTTGAAATTTTGGAGTGGGGAGATAGTTCTACTAGTTGGGGGAAAAAAAGGTTTAGCATTAAACTCCTAGGTAAATCGGTGTCATAGTTTACTATTGGGTACTGCAAAATGTAAGTCCCCTTTGCTTTTGCTGAAGAGTGAATAGAGTAGACAACAAGGATGGAAAACCAAATGATATTTTTTTAGGAGTAAAATAGAAAGACCCTCCTAGAAGAAGCCACATGTTTTAAGGCACAGAAAACTAAATGACTAAGGTGAGTGTGTACATTTAGCTTACCTAGAATCTAAATTGGTGTTTGTCCATATGTGAATCTTGGACCACCTGCATTAGAAATACTGCAGCACATGTTAGGGCTGAATTGTATCCTCCCAAAATCCATCTGTTAAAGCCCTAACCTCTTGTACCTCACAATGTGTCCCTATTTGGAGTTAGGACTTTTAAAGAAATGATTAAGCAGAATGAGATCACTAGGCTCGGCCCTAATCCAAAGACTGGTATCCTTATAAAAGGAGGAAATTTGTATACACAAAACACCAAGGGTGTGTATGCACAGAGAGAAGACCTTATGGGGACGCAGAGAGAAGGTGGCTGTCTAAAGCCAAGGACAGAAGCCTTAGGAGAAATCAACCATGCTGACACCTAGATCTTCAATTTCTAGCCTCTAGAACTGTGAGAACTAGAGGTTAGAAACTGTGAGAAAATAAATTTCTGTTCTTTAAGCCACTAATATCATAGTCTGTGGTATTTGATATGGCAGCCCAAGCAAACTAATATAGCACATAATGAAAACTCACATTTACAAGCCCTCCCCTGAACATTTTGGATCAGAGTAGGATTGGGCCCTGGCAGATGCATTCTTAACAAACCCTCTAGAAAATTCTGGTGTACACCACAGGTAAGGATTCATTACTTTCTGCACTAAAATAAAGTAGATTGAGGAATTTCTACAGAAAAGAAGATGGGGAGGGCTACCGTCATTAGTATGGGAAACTTGTTCTTGTAATTGGGATCCCTTATTATTCTGCCCATATTCACCAATTTTTTTTTTCTGTTAGTATCAAGGCGACATTCAGAAGTGAGATAATATTGGGTGCACCATGGATCCATAAGTCCTAGAAAATTATGTGACACTAGGTTATGAGCTGCATTAAAGACATGAGCATTGGGAATTTATGCTGGAATGTATCTGAGTTAACTTTGCGGCCACGAATGGCTTTGAATTATAATAAATAATTTTATACTCCTCTGGTTCATGTTTATCTCCTTTGTTAATTAAAAATAATCATTTTTCAATTTGGATGTGCACAGTGGATTCATTGCCATTCTTATATTTTTTGTTTTTTAATGTAATAGAACTTGAAAAGGAATTATAGTAACATTTGCTTTGGTAGAAGAAGAGGCTCACTTAAAGTGACAGCCTCCCTGAAGTGATAACATTGTAAATGTGGCAGGAAATATAAAGAATAACAATAAAATGTTGTAAGCATTTTCTTGTATAAAATATAGTTCCTTAAAGACTTTTAATGTATTGAAATATCATAAAAACATCAAGAATGTTTGAATTTCACACTTTTAACATAGATTCACTAACAGAAATACTGTGTTCTTTTGAAAAAGGAATATAATTCACTTGAACAAGATAAAATCAAATTGAAATATAATTAAATCAACTGTTTAATTTGATTAAAACACTGGAGCATTATGATTGTGCCAATATCCAAATCTAAATGGTAAAATGAAATTCTACGTTACAAAACCGGACAATTTCAAAGAATACCTAGTGTCTTAATTTCTACTATGATGTCTAAATCTTAACAGAAAAATATAATGACACTTGGGTGAAAGAAGTTACATACCTTTAATACTTTGGGCAAGATTATAAACATGTTCTAATTTTTTTTCAGATCATTATAAATGCTGTCTTAAGGTATTAAAATTAATTAAGAAACACAATTAAGTTCTCTGTTTAATACCAGCCTGAGTCTAAGCATTGTCAATGAATATCTAATATCTAATAATTGATTCTCCCAAAAATGTCTGTCAGATAAATGTTTTCATATCGCCATAAAATGTCATGTTACAAAATGAAGCTTTTGAAGCTTTACAAATACAACCAGAAATAAATTATCGTACTGAGAATACTAATTGTGAATTATAATAGAGCCTATTTTATATTTTAATTCTACATTTATAAATATTATATTTTTTATATTATGTTTTATGGGCATTGAAGTACTTTTCACGCAATTTGATTTTCAGTGAGCCCCTGGCAAGTTTGTTAGGGCAAGCACGATTACCCTGTTTTACACAGGAAGAAACTGAGTCTCACTGAGATTAAAGGCTCAGGGTCCTTCAGGTAGTAAGCAGCAGAGGTGAGAAGAGTAAGCCTGTGCCAACTTACGCAATAGGCGGTCCCACCTGCTGCCATCTGTGAACTCTGTTGGTCTCTAGTTCTGCTGAATGTGGGCATTACAGTCCATTGCTCTCATCACTGGTGGGGTGGCTGGGAAGCAAAGTATACTAGCTGAGTCATCCTAAATAGAATTTAAATCAATTTTACATTTTTAAAAAGATGTTTATTTATTTCAGAACAAGTGAGAGAAAGAGAGTGGACAGAGGGAGAGGGAGAAGCAGACTCCCTGCCGATGAGAGGGCCCAACTTGGGGCTCCATCCCAGGACCCCAGGCTCATAACTTGAGCTGGAGGCAGATGCTTAACTGACCGGGCCACCCGGGAGCCCTAAATCAATTTTATTTTTTAATAACAATCTGATGTGTTTCATTATAAACAACATACACTGTAAACAAAATAACAAAGCCAAAAATCTAACTTGCAGAAATCTTGGAAAATACAGAAACTAGGAAGAAGATAAAAAATTTACCTGTAATCATTCTATGCTGAGATAACCTTTATGAATATTTTGACATATAGTTGTTTTCTTCTATTGTCTTAACAACACATATTTTTACACAATTGAAGTCTTGCAACTTATTGTTATTTTTTCATAAAATACAGTGACATGAAAAGCACTTTCCCAAGTTGTTATACAGTCTTGTTTATTAATATTGAAAGTTGCTGCAGCAGATTTTGTCTTGTGAATGCATAAGAGTTTGTTAAATCATTCTCATACCATTGTTGTAAAAAACAGAGCCATACACATTTTAGTGCATACATGAAAAATATTTTCTATCTTTGGATTATTTCCCTAATATAGATTTCCAAGAATGGAATTATTTAGTCAAACTGTATGGACATTTAAGTCTGGGTATATATTATCAAATTATTTTCTAAAACAATAATCAACTTTTATTCTTACCAGTACAAAATGAAAAAATGCTAATTTCACTGTAAAAAAACCCATAGGTAGGGGATATTCTTATATCCCAATTCCAAACTAGAAGTTGTTTTATTTATTTTTCCTTATTTATTAAAGTAATACTTAAACATTGCAAAAAAGTTTAGATAATAAAAAAGGTTTTAGAAAATGAAACCCATCACTCAGAATTAACTTCCATTAATGTATTGATAGTTTCCAAGACTTTTTGGATATATTAGACTCTTCTCTTGCTTTTACCTAACTAAATATGAAGGACATCTTTTAATGTTAATGAATATAAGTCTACATCACCATTTTTAATAAGTGGATAGTATTCTATTATATAAACTTACCATAATTTATGATCTTTATTGAAAGACATTTGTATTGTTTCAAGTTTTTAAAAAATAATAAACTGAATCTGCTACAGATTATATTACCAAGGGCAGATCAATTAGTTTCTCAAAGACTTACTTTCCTAACCTGGTAAGCATCTGATGAGTTAATGGATCAGCATCTAATGAGAGCTCTATTATAGAGTTGGCCAAGACCCAGCTTTACACAAGTTGCAGTATTAAGTGAAATGTAGCAAATTGGAAAGCCTATGACTTTGGAACACATGTTAGTTTTCTCTTGCTGCTGGAAAAAATTACCACAAAGTAGTTTAAAAACAACATGAATTTGGGGTGCCTGCGTGGCTCAGTCATTAAGCATCTGCCTTTGACTCAGGTCATGATCCCAGAGTCCTGGGATCGAGCCCCACATAGGGCTCCCTGCTCCTGGGGAAGCCTGCTTCTCCCTCTGCCACTCCCCCTGCTTGTGTTCCCTCTCTCGCTGTGTCTCTCTCTGTCAAATGAATAAGTAAAATCTTAAAAATATATATATATGAATTTATTATCTTAAAATTCCGAAGGTGAGGAGTCTAAAATCCTCTGCAGGACTGAGTTTCTTGCAGAATTTAGGAGAGAATCTGACTTTTCCAGCTTCTCTAGGCTGCCTGCATTCCTTTACTCATGGCTTTATATCGCTCTGACCTCTACTTCAATGGTCACATCTCTCTCTGACACGCCTGCCTCCCTCTTACAAAACACCCTTGTGACTACATTGGGCCCACAAGATAATCCAGAATAATCTTCCCATCTCAAGATACTTAATGTAGCCATATCTGCAAAGTCCCTTTTGCCATGAAATATAATATATTCACAAGTTTTGGGGATTAGGATGCGGATCTCTTTTATCCTACCAACTACAAAGCATATATCTAAATTTGAGTCTGGGTTCTTCCAGGTAAGAATTTGAACGTGGACAAATGACAAATTCCTATGAACATCATCTAATCTGTAGAATGAGGAAAAGAATCCTCTCCATATAGGGTGGGATGAAAATTAATGAATTATATGAAATGTTTACAGTTCAATGCTAGACACTTAAAAGACACTTAGAACTGACACATAGGAAACATTTAGTAGTAGTTACCATAATATAATTATTGAGGCAAAATGAGTTGCATAGTTATTAATCTTATTTGCATCTTGGAAACTACTTGTGATTGAGGGGTGAGGGATGCCAGTGTTTCTTAAATTTATCATTTGCTTCATTGACTTTCTGCTTTCTCTTTTCAGTTCTCAGCTGTTTAGAGGGGAAAATACTGAATTTATTCTTATATTTCAAATATATTCTGAACAGGCCCAATGATAATTTAAATATTTGTTTGCCCTTTTCTCTAAAGAACCTTGAGAATATAAGACTATAGCAATGAAATGCAGTAATATGAGATTATTTATGTAGCTGTACATATTTGTCTTGTACAAAGTATATGACTAAGTATTATATTCATCATAGCTGAAGCTAGGACCTCCAAGTGCATCTTATTGGGGTCCTGGAATTGTAGGTAAAATTTGTGTGTGTGCATTTTCTAAGTTATAACTTATATTAGATTTCCAAAAGATCCATTTTCCCAGATAGAAAAGATCCATTCTTCTAAATCAATTTCTTCATTTTAATTCAAATTAGGTTATATATGTGTATATACACACACACATGTATCTTTATTGCATACTCCTATTTGACTTGTTACTCAATGTGTGACCTATGGACCAGTAGCATTGGCATTACCTTGAAACTCAGAAGACTCTCAGGCCCCACCGCAGACCACCTAAATTGGGATCTGTGTTTTAACAAGATCCCATGTGATTCTATGAACATTTTAAACCTGACAAGTATTACTTTCAGTAAAATCAGAAGATACAATCAGGCTAAATAAATAAATAAATGAAACATGCCCACAATACCATTCAACTAGTGACAAACCTTGTTAACATTTTGGCATATATTTATTTACAATTTTGTTACCCACTCTTCCCAATGCATTGTGAATGTGTTAACATGTCAATAAACACATGCCAACATAATTTCTAGTGGCCAATTTGTAATTTATTATATATGCATGTATTATGATTAGGCATTCCTTTCTTGGTGGTTTAGATAACTTTTTATATTTTTACTTTTAAAACAGCCCTTGTGTGATAAATACCCTTGTAATGTAGGTTTTATGGTTGCCTGGTTCAAATCCTAACAATGCCCCTTACTAGCTGTGTGACGTTAGGCAGATTAGTTGAATTCTCTATGCTTCAGTTTCTTCATCTATAAAATGGGCATAATAAAAAGCACCTCATAGATTGTTTTGAGGATTTGTATAAATACGTGATTCATGTAAAGATCTTAGAATTGTATCTGGCACATTCTAAATGTTCAATAAATGTTAATTATTTTATTATTCTTGATGAACCCTCATCCATATCTTTACAACTTCTCTTTCTGAAGAAAACTTAGGTTATTAAGCTAGCTAGTAGCAGAGGGGGGCAGAAGTGGACTTTTCCTTTTTAATCTTTCCATTCTTCCTATAGTTCTGGAGTAGAGCGCCCAGCAAATGTAGGACTTAAAAAAATTCAAAAACAAATTTTCGCGGGAGGGTTGACCAATGAGAGAATAAGATTATTTTAATAACTCTCCTCAGCTGAGACGGACCCGTAAAACAATACAGTTTAGAACAGATATCCGGAATTGTGAAGAGAAAATGGTTCTGATTCAATCAACCCGGGACACAACCGATCCTTCTGATAGTGGGGCTACGCGGAGTTAATGCTCCCATGGTTACAGATCTGGCTGACTCCAGGCTTTGCGCTCTCTACTGCGCAAGTGCAGACAGCTGATTTAGCCCCCCGGCGCCTTCAGTTTCGAAGGGGAAGCCCCACCCCCCTCTTCTGCCGTCCTCCTATCGCCTTCTCACTTTGCCTATTCCACGCGTTCCGGGGGTCTGTGACGCAGTATTCCGGCGTCCGCGTCGTTTGGAGCCGCGACGCTGAACATGGCGCGTTCCTAGAAGCCGCTTTCGGCATCAGTAGGCGGCGGCGTGTAGATTGGAAGCGTGGGGCGCGGGACCAACCGACTTCGCTTCGTGTTGTGGAGTGGAAGCGGGAGAGCTGGGCTATTCCGGACCGAACCAAACGGTGAGGCCTGAGAGCCACAGAGCGCGCGAGTGGAAGGGAGGTGTGGGTTGGGCAGCGGAGACCCGAGAGGCGAGGGAAGAACGTGGGTCAACCCGCAGACGAGGAATTGCAGTAACGCGGCGAGGGCGGCCTGCAGGCTTGGCTCTCTGCGTAACCCTAGGAACCACTAGGAGCTGGGGGCTGGCCGAGTCAGCCCGGGGGTTGGGGGGTAGGCTTGGTCGAGGAGGAATCGGGGTGCAGGGAGACAGGGACTGGGTGCCAGATGAGAAGAGCATAGGGTGCCCATTGTGGTTGCGGTTTCGAGCCAGGATGGTGCATTTGCCCTTGGGGGATAGGTGGTGCAAATTTTGAGAGAATGTGGTCATCTTTAGTATAAAACCACTGTATATTGTTATTGCATACATTACGTTGATGCTAATAGCGATACTGTGAAAGCTTTAATTAAACGTTAGACCCTTGCCTTTAATGTACAGGTGAAGGAAGTTACACATTCTCAGAGGGGAGCAGCTTGCTGAGGTATGGCCGCCAGTGCTCAAGCCCAGCGACTTCTGCAGCTTTATATTGGGGGTATTTGTGATTCAGCAAAACTATTTTGAGGCCCATTGCATTTGTCATTCTTCCTTATTCTTTTGTTACATAGTGGGGAATGAGGAAAGTATTATTTGGAAGTGACTTGACTTAAATTAGGTAGAAGTGGTAAATTGTCTGCTGGTGCCAAGATTGCAATTGACATACCTCCTCCCCACCCCAATATAAGCGAGCTCGGTTGTAGTGAAGTGTAGTGCCTTTGAGAATTGGTTATTCCTCAGAAGTGGGTAAGAGCAGTTTACAGCCATAATGTTTTTTCTTGGATAGGGAGTTCACTCCATTTTAACGTTATTTTAAACTTCTCTCTTCAGTTTAGAGCCTTCAGGTTTAAGGGGAGAGTGACTATAAGGCTTCCGTTGCATGACGCCTTTTCTTTTATCTTTCATCCCTGAAGATTACTTTGAAATTAGAATGAAAATCCCTGTTGGTTGTGATAGGATTGTGGAATTTTCTCCTCCTGTAACCTAGTATAGGGAATAGTAGAAACAGTTTAATTATAGCAATGGTTTGTGGCCGTATATTATAGCCCTAGGTCAGCTGGGCTGTCTCTGTCCTAGTTACACATCCTAGAGCCGAAGAAAATTCTCATCACAAATGAATTCAATCGTGGCAATAGGATCGGAGGTTCTAAACAAATACATGAAGATTATTTGGTAATTAGTATAAAAGTCTTTAAATTCTGTGACATTGAGAATGTGTTTGCATTCAGGATCAAACCATAATGCAAAAGAACCCTTGTAGGCATGTGGCAGTTAAAATATACTGAAGACTTTTCCAGAGCTAAGTATGTTCTTGTAGATATAAAAATATTCGTGTTTTGAGAAAGGTAATATGATTAGACGGATTTTGACCTTTGTGTTGTATGTATGTTCATATATGTGTGCGTTTGTATTTATATCTGTTGTCGAAGTATAGCTGATGTACAGTGTTATATTAGTTTCAGGTGTACAGCATGGTGATTTGACAGTTCTGTACTTTATGATGTGCTCACCATGATAAGTGTCATTACTATCTATCACCATGCAGTGTTGTTACAGTATTAGTGACCATATTTCCTGTGTTGTATTTTTCATCCCTGTGACTTACTTATTTTATAACTGGAAGTTTGCACCTCTTAATCCCCTTCACCTATTTATGTGCATTGGTATTTAATCTTGCTTCTCCTAATATGGTGTTATTGATTCCAGTATTACTCATTTCTGTCTTTTCTTATCTGCATCAAATGAGGACTGTCATCAAGTTAACTTAAGAGTGTTTTAGGGAATGGCAAGACATACTTAGTGCAGGTGTGAGTCTGGAGTGTTGTTGTTCAGTTTTCTAAATATCAGGCTGATTGGGGCGCCTGGGTGGCTCAGTTGGTTAAGCCACTGCCTTCGGCTCAGGTCATGATCCTGGAGTCCCGGGATCGAGTCCCGCATCGGGCTCCCTGCTCAGCAGGGAGTCTGCTTCTCCCTCTGACCCTCCCCCTTCTCATGCTCGCTCTATCTCATTCTCTCTCTCAAATAAATAAACAAAATCTTTAAAAAAAAAATATCAGGCTGATTACAGATAAACCCACAATTAAAAGCTTTGTAGAGCTTGTGCTGGATCAGTGTTCGGCACTCTTGCTACTCAAAATGTGGTGCATGGCGTCACCTGAGTGTTCAAACTGCGGAAGCTCGGACTTAACCCCAAACCTAATGAATCAGAACCTGCATATTAACAAGCTCTCCAGAAGATAAGAATTTATATTAAAGTTTGAGACACACTACTTGGTTGGGAAAAGTTGGAAGACTGAGGTCATGCATAAACCTGCATAAAAATCATAACATTTATTTTGATCTGAGGCAGTCTTTTGCTGATTATCAAGTCTGATATATCTGGTTGAAGAAACTGAGACCCAGCAGTGGTAAGTGACTTGCATGAGGTCACATAATTCATAACCCAGGTTCTGACTTACTCCAATGCTTTTCTTTTGCTAGTTACTTCTTTAATAAAATGGAACTAAAGTATTCATGAATGAGAGCTAGGTATTCATTCCACAACCAACATTTATTGAGTAATGGAGAAGCAGTCCAATAATTCTGTGTGTTGCTAGTAACTGCTCTTTCCAATATGAACCCACCACCTTCCCTCCTTACTCCTTCATGAATGAGATCACTTCTTCACACATTGGTGGGAACACTTTTTGTCCTCTTTCACCTGTAAACAGGTCTACTTCTGTCTCTTCATCTCTGGTTGTGCTCTGAGTTTTTTCTCCTCAGGGACAATGTGTTGTATTAGTTTTCTAGGGCTGCTGTAAGAGAATACCACAGACTGGGTGGCTTAAGCAATGCAAAATTATTTTCTCACAATTCTGGAAGGTGGAGCCTTTTCCAAAGCTAAGTATGTTCTTGTAGATATAAAAATATTTGTGTTTTGAGAAAGATGATTAGACGGATTTTGATCTTTGTGTTGTATGTATGTTCTATATGTGCGCGTTTGTATTTATATTTGTTGTTGTTGAAGTATAGTTGACGTACAATGTTATATTAGTTTCAAGTGTTCCAGCAGGAGTGATTTCCTCTGAGGCTTTTCTCCTTGACTTATAGATGACCACCCCCTTTGTGCACTAGAATCTCTGGTGTCTCTTTTTCTTATTAGAGTACCACTCATATTGGATTAGGCCCCACTGTGATGACCTCATTTAACTTAATCACTTCTTCAAAAATCTCACCTCCAATACTGAGGGTTCTGGGGTTTTGGGCTCCAGCATGTGAATTTGGGGGGAATACATTTCAGTCCATAACACTTAGTTAACTCTTTTTTTTACTCTTAAGTGGCACTAACTTATTAAGGTTTAAACACACTTATCTTAAATACACTCTCTTCACTGTAGATTCCTCTTCAGTTTCATCTGTAATTATTTCCTTTGAATGTCTGGAAGAGTTACGTGTATTCATTTTCTCTGCCACCTTATTACTCCACCCCGTATATTGAAGTCTGGCAATCCACTGCAGTCACTGTTGGGTGGTAGTTACCATTGATCTCTTTGTTCTGAAGTCTAGTAGAATCTTTTTCATCATTTGACATTTTGAGTAGTTGTACTCTTTGAAATTCTCTTATGCTTCTGTGACCCTGTGGTTTCCTTATTTTCCTCTTGTGTCTTGGCCAATCTTTCCTTGGTGTATTTTTCTCTCTTTAACCCCTTCAGATGCTCCTTTCACACTGAGGCATGGTCTTCTCTCTTGTCTCTGCCTGCTCTTGAATTGTCTTATTCTGGTGACTGCAACCACTGTCTTTATTTTGATGACTAGCAAATCTTTGTCTCTTTAGCACAGATTACTCTTCAACTCTGACACATTGTGGTTGTCTTAAGATACCTTAAGTTTAGCTCAAAAATTACGTATCTCGCTCTTTCTGAAGTTCCTTCTCTTCCTCCTGTGATCCTTGTCGGTCATTCAGTTGGAGATACCCTAAATCTTAACTTTTCCCTCTCATTACCCTTAAGTGCTGCTCTCCCCCACCCGCACCAGAATTCTAATCATTTACCAAATCTTGTTCTTCGTCTTTCATCCATTTTTCCCTGCAGCAACCACCTTGGTTCAGACTATCATTATCTGGACTTTTGTGTAAACATTCTAAATAATTTCCTTTCTCCTAAGAATGGATATCAATCCCTCTTTACCCTTCCTGTTTTTACAGGCAGATTGTAGTGTTTTTCTGCAGTCTTTCCATTTAGGCTTTAGGATTAAAATCCAGACTACCAAATTTAGGAAATATAGACCTTAGTGATTTGGACCTAGCTTGCTTTTTGCTTTTTTTTTTTAAGATTTTATTTACTTATTTATTTGACAGAGTGAGCACAAGCAGGGGGCACAGCAGGCAGAGGGAGAGAGAAGAAGCAGGCTCCCCATTGAGCAGAGAGCCCAACACGGGACTCGATTCCAGGACCCTGGGATCATGGCCTGAGCCAAAGGCAGACACTTAACCAACTGAGGCGCCCAGGCGCCCCTGCTTTTTGCTTTCTTTTGCTGTTTTCTGCCTCACATTATTCTGTCATGCTGAACTATTTGCAATTCTTCAGAAGTGTTAGAATGTTTTTTAAAGTTGAGACATTAATATGTTGTGTGTCTTCTGCCTAGAATGTACCCATCATCTGTTTGACAGACACCCATAACATACTCGTTTGGATAACTCCTTCTCCACTTTCATGACCCAGCATAAACGCTGTCTTGTCCCCCTTTCCTGCCCCATCAGGCTTTCCCCAGCCTGCTTAGGCTGAGTTACGTCTTCCACTTAAGTTCTTCTGAAACAGCTTTGTCATCTTTTTTCCTCTTGAGAGTTGAATGCCAAGATTATTTTGTTTTGTTTATTTGTGATCTGATCTACATTCTGTATTAAGCCATCTCCTGCTGTAACCAAAGGGATGGAAGATCAGTATACTGGTCATC